CAACAGTTTTCCCAATTAAATTCTTTGCAATGGTCTTGGCAGTTGCTTCAACAAGCATATCAATATTCATGAATGTTGCTGCTTTTAGCATTTCAAATAACATATCCTTTTCTAAATCATCACAAAACTTAACATCCCATGGATGAAGATCTGCATTCTTATCTCTATCCCCAATTACAAAATCTGGATACATCAATGGATGTTCGTTGTGGAATAATAACCATTGAATAACTTTTTCTAACACTGCTCCTTCTACTTTTAAAATAGGAACTGGTTCATCAGCATTTTCTCTGTCTTTCATAAGTGATTCTACGAGTCCTGATTGTTTTGCTGCTTCTTCTGAAATAATGAAATCTTTTCCATCTGATGATCTTAAGATTACGTTTTGTGCCATGTCTTTCCTTTTTTTTAGTTCTTTTTTCTTTTTCTTTTTTTTTTTATCTCTTTGCATTTCTCAAAAGAAAGATAAAAAAAAGAAAGAGTAAATTGACTTTACTATTTATTCCAGTTGTATTGTGTTCGTTCAAAGAAAAAAGTTTGGTCAGAGGTATTGTTTTAGTTTAAATACTTAGCATAGTCAGTGGTAAGTAGATAAAAGCGACAAAGAATTTAGAGGAAGGATAAATAAACTGAAAACCAAGAAAAAAGAACTATAAAAATAAAGGTGAGGAATATGAATGGGCAAGGTTCATTTAAAGTAATTGACCCGTTTCAAATAATTTTATTAGAGAATGAGCCAATTCTAGATGAAATAGAAGAAGAATTAACAGTAGAAAAAGGGACAATAAGATATGAAGAAGAAGAAAGAAAAGTAATAAGTAAAGATGGGAGAATAATCAAACAATGTAAAAATGTGTTAAATCAAATAACACAAAAATATAATTATTACATATTTAAAGTAAAAATAAAACCACAATTTAACGAAGAGTTAGTAAATATTCATTTAAGTTCATTAACAAGAATTGTAAGGATATATAAAGAATTAAAATTTAAAAGATTAGATTTACCAATAGAAAATGAGATATATAGTTATGTTGTGTATGGTTTGTGTTAAATACTTTTTTCTTTAATTTATTAATTGTTATTAGTAAATCCTCAAACGAATAAAAATGGTATTGAACTCTTTATAAAAAAATTAATTAAAGTTAATGTGTTCAATGCTTATTACGATTTAGTTGAATTACCAGAATTATTTAAATCTAATTTTATTGAAATTTGTAATATCCTTAAAACAAATTCTTTAACTTCAGTTCCTTTTAAACTTGACATTAATTCTTCTCCTCAAATTTTTGGATTTGAACATTGTTTTAAACAATTAACTCAATTTATTGAGAATATTCAAAAAAATCAATTTACTACTTTAAAAATTAAATTTAAAAATCATTTGACTTCCTTTCATAAAGCATTTTATGAAGAAAAATTTAATACTTTAATTACTCAAGCAAATTGGGACATTATTAAACTTCAATATAAAATTTTGTTTAAAGAAGTTAAACCAGGTCTCTTTGATTGTTTTGTTAAAGCTCCTAATAATGTTATTAAAATTGTTATTTCTAAAATTACTGAATTCTTTAATAACATCGTTTTAGTTACTGTTATTAATAACGTTAAAAAGTCTGACGAAAAAGATTTACTTCTCTTCTCAAGAACTCATGATACTCCTTATAATGCTCTTTATTTCATTAGTCATGGTAAAGTAAATCAAATGATCGCGGCTATTAATCTTTGTAAAGATTTTCATTCAGTCAATATGATGACTTACAAAGAGGAATTAACTAATTTTATTTTCGAAAAATATATCACTTCATTACCTCAAAACGAAGACTTCGGATTTGAGGAATTAGATATTCCAGAATTGGCTAAGTCTCCAACTGACATAACAAATCAAACAAAAAATAATCCAAACCTTATTGACAAAAAATTAAACAAAACAACTAATGACTTTGATAATCAAATGCCAAATCTTATCAACACAAATGTTCACTTAAAAGACAATGAACAAATAGACATTAAATCTCCTAAACAATCTATTGAAAGTCAGTCTAAAGATTATAATTTTGAACCTGAGAATAATTTTAAATCTCAATCACAAAATGAAATAATAAATAGTCCAAATGAAAGTCATTCCCTTTCATACCAACAAGATAAAATTGTTTATCTGGAACATAATGAAGAAAGTACTGAGTCTAGTTATCATGAGGATAATTGTCTCTGTCAAACAACTTACGATGAACAACTTGATCAAGAAAACAAACAACTCAAAGAACCTCCTCTTCTTCCACCAAAACCAAAAAGACTTCAAAAAGAAGAACAACTCAGACAAGAAAGTATCATCGTTTGTAATAATCTACAAGAAAAAGAAATTCAAGAATCCTTTTATGTCTCAGAAAAAACTGAAAAAACGATTAATCAAATACAAGTATCACAAAAGTTCTCATGTGATGAGACAACACAAAATATTTCACAACAAGAACAACAACCAACAGTTTTGTCTGATCCTTGGATTAAAGATACACCAACTTATTGTAATATAACACTTGACTCATTTAAAAAACAAAATGAAACCAATCAGCAAAATTTATGTGATCAAACGCCTCAACAAGAAGATTTTGAACCTTATAAAGAATGTTATGTTTCACAAACACCTGAAGAAAAGTATCAAGAAGAATTGATAGAAGGAAATCAAAATAATGAACCAAGTAGTGAACAGACTAATCAAAGTCAAGTTGAGAATAAAACTGATAAAATTAACCAAGAACAAATAACTATTTCTGTTTTAGGAGAAGATTCAAAAGAAATAGAAAGTGATACAACTAATAGAGCTAATGACCATCAAAGTTATGACCATTTTACTAAACAGGAAAGAGAAGATGATACTCCAACAATTAGACAAGCTCCTAGAAGACCAACCAGATCATCTAAAAACAGAAAACCAGCAACAAAAAAATTATTTAATCAACTGAAAGAAATGAAAATAGAAATATTGAAAGAAGAAATAAAAGAAAATGAAGAGACTAATGAAATAATTGAAAAACAAACAACTGGAGTAAAAGAAGATGAAGAAATTAAAGAAACAAATTCACAAGTACCTAACCAAAATGATATTGAATTAATAGGAGAAGAAAATCAAAACAATAAAGAACCAAGTGTTGTTAATCAACAAGACGAATATCAACACGAAGAAATAACTACAAAAACTTCTGATGACCAATTAACAAAAGATCAAATTGACAAGAATCACTCGAACGTTAATCAAATGTTATTAGAAGATTTACAAAAAACACTGCATACTCCAAAAAAAGAAAATAAACCTTCTTTTACTTCTACAAATTGTGTAAATGAAAATACTAAAAATCAACCTTTTCTTCCAATATTTGAAATTAAACTTAAAAAAACTTCTCCTATAAAAAAATATGAACCACCAATTCAAGAAGAAGAAACACAACTTCAAAAAATAATGAAAAAAAGAAAAGAAGAGAGTAATTAATACATTTGAATATATTTTTTTATTTAGTTTAAACAATTAACGAATCTTGTAAGTTATATTAAATCTTGTCATTTTTATGAGAATGACAAAAAGGTTATAACTTCATTGTTCTTTGATATTTGGTTATAAAAGATTCATATATATCTTCCTTTTAACAAACATCAATTATACTTTATTTCTTTTTTTTCTTTTTTAAATAGTTATTTTTTATAGTTTTAATTATTAATTATTATAGTTTTAAGGGTTACAATTTTAAATAACACAAGAAAAAAAACGAAATAGTTAAGAAAATATAATATAAGGTAATATAATAAATTATAATAATAGTTTAATGAACAATGAAAACAAAAGAAAGTAACCAATGGAAGTAATGTCAGTATTTTTATTATTAATACTTATACCAGAAAGTAATTGTTTACAGATTGACAGTCCGTGTATAGTTTGTCTAAAAATGATAAGAATAGATTAGATTTGTTAAAGACTAACCAATAGATAGACACCCGAGTAGAAAATATTAAGTTTATTGGGAAAAAAGGAATTGTTGGTTCAAAATCTCAAATAGCGAAATTGTGTTACGATGATGTTCCTGAAAAAAATAGAAATGTTTTAGCTTATTCAACTCATACTTCTTGTTATTTTCCTCTTCCTTCATTTTCTCAAATTTTTCAAGGACGAGAATTTCCTCGATGTGGAATTTGTATTAGACTTAGTGGTCCTTCTTTAAAATCATCAATTTGTACAATAGTTGGTGCAACAGTAATGAATGTAACAACAGAAGAAGAAAAGTTATCATATTTAAGGACAATGTTTGTAGATGAAGAAATGTTTCAACACCTATCAGGATTTTATAATAACTATGGAGAAGGTTCATCATTACCAGTTGTTGCACAAGTTGTTAATTGTCCATATAAAACAGTTCCTTCTGCTGTAGTTAAATCAATAAAAGAAGAAGGGGATAATTATAATACAGAAGTTATTTTATTTAATACAAATCTTATTATTGATAAAATAGAACTCAAAGGGTCTTATTACTATTTAAATGCAACTTCATGTCTTTTTAATTTAATCGTTCCAAAGTCATTTACTTCAGGGATACTAAAATTGTATGACTTTGTTGGTGATGCATTAGCACTTCCATTTAAATTAGAATTATCAACAATTCAAACTGCTTCAAGTTCATTACCTGGAAGTTTAAAAGATACTCCATGTTATCTTCGATTAGAAACACAAATCCTTAATACTACAGAAATAGTAGATCCATATTTTTCATGGAAATTATATGTTCATAGTCAATCAAATTATAATGAAGTTATTCAAGTAGATTTAAAGAATCCAACAATTCACTTCGATAACGAAATATATATATCTTTAGTCTATCCTTATCCAGTAAAAATTAGTAAACATTATTCATATTTATATTCTGATTATTTTATTAATAAACCTTTAGTAAAAGAACCAGAATTTAAAACTTTTGCATTTATTGATTCAATTGAAAATTCAATTGAAACAAATTGTTTAAACTCATTTGCTTTAAATAAACAAGTACTATTTGAGAATAATTATTATAGAATTAAAAGTCAATTAAGTATGAAAGTAGCTCGTTGTTATGCTCAAATAAATAATATTGTTGTTCATTATATAACAAATCAAGATAACTCGGTTATTACTTTTAATAAAATGTTTCTTTATCCAATCAATGATTTAAATTTCACTGAATGTCCTATTGGAACTTTTCAATGTTCTTTTGAAGATGAATGTAATCCAACAAATTCAACTATTGAACCAACTAATGGAGAACTTATTAAAAATTATTCTGATGGTTGTGTCCCTTTTTGTGGTACTTGTAAATTCGGATTTTCTTGTAACAAAGCTGCTAAGTGTGTTAGAACTATTTCTTTAAATTTAAGAAATCAATCATTTGGTACTTTCCTTTTTGTAGCTTTATTGTTAATTTTTATTATTTGAATTCTTTAGTTTATTTTTTATGATTTTGTATTTTTGAATATCTTTTTAATATGTTTATCTGTTCATTTTTTTTTCTATATTCTCAATTGAATATTTTTAATACTGTTTTTTAATATCTCATCAAATACTCTTTTATTCTATTATTTTAAAATCATTCAAAAAATAAAATATGAAAGATTATTAAATTATTGATTTACAAAGTATCAAATGATGAATAGAAATAATATCAAAAACTCATCTTTCTGGTGTTGATGAAAGGTCTTGTATAGATCCTTCATTATCTGAGCTAGCTCCACTTGAAGAATTACTTCTTTTTCTCATAAATGAAGGTATAAGGAAACTTAGTTTAGTTGAACTTCTTGGGCTTTCTTGTGGGGATTCAGTTTTTCTAGGAGAAACAAGTGATAAGAGTCTTCTTCTTGGAGTGCTTACTGTTGAATTTGAAGATTCAGACGATGATGTTAATGAACCTGAACCTTCACGAGTGACTTTTTTGAGAGTAGGAATTTTATAAGTTTTCTTTTTTGATTTAGATTCTGTAGATTCAATTGTACCTAATGAACCAGCATGAGTAGTATGTAAAGGAATTTTTGATTGATGAATTTCTTTATTAATTGCAGGACCATCAAATGAGACAGCACGAATTCTTCTTGGTGTATGACATTGTTTTTCTATTTTTGTTTGTGGAATCATTCTTTCCTTTTGGAAAACTAAAGAAAGACTTTCAGGAGTCATTTCATCTTCAAATGGATTTTCTTCAGTAATTAATGGAATATGTCCTTGTTCTAATTGTTTTAAAAATGCTTTATAATAATCTAATGGAGAATTAGTATTAATTCGATTTGGATTATATCCTAATTCTTGTAATTTATCATCTTTTTTAATGTCATGTTTTTTCTTTGGAGTTTTTAATTGTAGATTAGGTACTTTCACTTTCTTTTTCATATCTTTTTCTGATTTTAATTTTGCATTAAACAATGGATGGGCTAATGCCTCTTGTGGAGTTAATCTATCTTCTGGTTTATATGTTAAACATTTATTCAAAAAATCAAATAATGTAAGTCGTAATGTTGCAGGATCAACAGGAATTTTAGAAACATCTAATATAATATTATGTAAATATACTAACTCCTTTAAACTCTTTTTTTTAAAATAATCTTTTTCTTCAGGTAATTCTACACAATATTCTTCTTCAAATTCTTCTTCATCTTTCAAAACATATTCAAAAGTACCATCTGCATGATAGAAACGATTAAAATAATTTTCTGTTTTAGTTCCACTATTTAACATCTCTGATGGAATCATTCCAAGGAATTTAATTTGTTTTCTTAACAATCCTAATTCACTATTTGCAACAAACAATGGAATTCCAAAGAACATTTCTGCAACCATACAACCAAATGACCACATATCTATTGCACAATTATATTTATATCCAATACATACTTCAGGTGCACGATAAAATCTTGATTGAATATATGAATATAATGAATAATTATCAAAACAACATGAACCAAGATCAATTAGTTTTAATTTTGATGATATTCCTGTTAGTAACACGTTTTCTGGTTTAAGATCACAATGAATAATACTTGCTTGTTTACAAATCACAAGACATTCTAATATTTGTTTATTTAAAGTTTGAATAGTAGGTAATGAAAATCCAGACTTCTTGTTTAATTTCATTAATTCATATAATGAACATCCAAGTAATTCTGTGACAATACAAAGATGATTACAATATAAAAAATGATCTAAAATTTCAACTATTTGTTTTTTTGAATCATAAAACTTATTTAATATTAGTAAAGCAGTAATTTCAAGCATTCCTTGTCTGAAATATGCTTTTTTATTTTTTAATATTTTGATAGCAACTTCTCTATCATGTTGAAGATCTTTACATTTAAATACTTGTCCAAATGTTCCTTGTCCTAATTTACTAATAACTTTATATTGTGTAATAACATTTGGATTCATTGAATATTCTTTTCCTTCAAATGATGTAGAAGTACCTAATATATCTCCAATACGTACAATTAATTCATAATTACTATTATCTAATCCATAGTTATGCATTGGCGTTTTAGGTTCTGTAAGTATTACCCTTGGAACATCATGATACTGAAATTCAGGGTTAATATGTAAATAAGTTGATATTAATCGAGTGGTTTGTGCTTTAAGAATAGAAAATCTTCTTTCTGTAGGATATAACACTCCTATCATTCTATCAAGTGGATGAAAAGCACTGTTAATAGAAGCAAGAGCCATTTCACGCAATAATTTTTACAGTTTATTATTTTCTCCTTTTTCCATTTATTTAGAAAGAGTTCGTTTTACTCTCCCTTTTTATTGCTTTTTCTTTGATTTTCAAATACTCTTACAATATAACTGTAGTTAGAACACATATAAAATTAGAACTACTCAAAAGAAATCAATTATAAGAATGGTATCATTCTAAAATGAGAATTGATGATGTAATAACTTTGTTTTTTTTATTTTTCTTTGACACAACTCATGAAAAAAATATTTTTTCCTTGAATTGAGTATTTTACCATCAAAATTTATAGAATAATAAAATCAAACTATGAGATATATTGAAATCACTTGAGGAGTGTATTTTAAGTTATGTAAATAGACCTAATTATGAACAGAAACAATTCAAAATTATAGAAAATAAATTTCATGCAATTGAATAGTAATCTTTCATTCACCAAACCTTAATTTCTGTGTTATTTACTGATAAGATGAATAATTACGAATTCCCTCAATGCTTACTTCTAATTTCTAATTTAATGAAATTTGGAACCTTAAATTGTTTTTTGATGTCATTAGAAACAATCCGTTAGTTCTCAATAGGTATTGACTTTTTATGTTCAAATATTCTGTTTCTCTGGTGCATTAATTTCTTTCTTTTTTGATGTAATTACAAAAAGAAGATCGGAGTTGTTTTGAAGTTTATAAACTAAGTTAAATTTAGAACTCCCAAAACAAGACAAAGACACCATCTATCTAATTGAGAACGATTAAACAGAACTACCAAACAAAAAAATAAATAAAAATAACAAGCATTATTGGTCTTTAGATGACAAACATTCTTGAAATTTTATGTATAGAATTTTCTTAGGGACAGAATTTCTTCTTTAAAAAGAGTTAATAAATAATGTTTTAATGGTTACTCTATTTTAAATATCAGTTCTCTTATTACTCTTATACTTGTTGATGTTGAATAAAGTAATTAAGTAATGATAGTCTAATACTGCTTTATTCAATTAATAAGTAACATTTAAAATATCAAGAACAAAAAGAACTCAACACTTCATATTAACTATAATTATAGATATTTCAGTGATGATATACCTACAAATGATATTTCAATAAATTTCTGGTATTTTGTTTTCTCAACGAAGTTTGATTCAATAAATAAATATAGAAATTGAAATATTTATAAAAGAACTATTTAAATAATAAGAAAACATAAAAAAAATTATTAAAAAAAAAAAGAGAAAAACTAAAAAGGAATCTTAAAATTCCTAATGGAAAAACAACGAATATATAACCTTTCACTTCTTGTTCTTGGAGTTGTTGTTGTTCTTGCCTCAACAGCACTAATCTTTTTAACAATATTTGGTCCAATAAGAAAAATGCCAAATACTAGTAAATTAAATAATTCAGATTTAAAATTCTATAGTAAAACAGTCTTTATGTTAATAATGATTTCTCTTGCGGTTCTCTTTATGGTAGCAGGTGGAATGATGATTGCTACTTCTTTTGTTCAAAAAGACTGGATGTGTTTGCTTTCATATATTGTGATTGGTTTAGGTGTTATGTGCGCTTTCTCCTTCGGTGTCTACTTTGCTATTACTTATGGCTCTTTTGTTAAAACAACAAACACCTCTTTAAAAACATTAGCCCATTGGGAAGATATCGTTTGTTCTTCTTTTCTTTTATTTCCTATGTTATGTCTAACTCTTCTTTAGTTTGATTGTTGTGGTTGGAATGAATATCGTTCAATGCCTCCTTGTGCTTCTGCTAGTGGTTCTACTTCTAGAGTTACTTGTAAAGCAGTCACAAAACCTATTGCAGGTGCTTCTCTTCAAAACCTTATTGTTGGGTTCTCTTTCTTCCTTCTTCTTGTAGTTGGTATTGTCTTCATTTATTTAATCGGTGGTTCTTTGAATTCAAATGCTGGTTACAACAAACTCGACCAATAAATCAGTTTTTCATTTATTTCTTTTTTGTTTTTCATTTTATTCAAATAACATAAAACTATCTTGTTTTTTCATTTTTTTGTTATTTATTTTCATTCTTATAACTAAAAATAGATTTAGAAATCTTATTTTTTTGGTTAAACATCATTTGTCCATCTATAAAAGGATTTAATGATCTTTTTTTTATTATTCTGCCAATGAGCGAACAACAGTACCTAAAATATATATTTGATAATCTCTTTGTTGTAATTGAGTATGCAAAGGCTGTAAATCAAGTATATTTAACTGATGGATACAAAGATTATAATATAAAAAAAATAAAAGAGGCTATTAAAAAAATAAAAGAGATTATTACTAAAAATATAAATCCTTATATTCGGGGGTTAGATGGTACTAAACAGATCACTTATGATGGAGATTGGTCTAAGTTCTGTGATAGTATTTATGAATCTTTAGAAAAAAGGTTAATAGAAAAATTCTTTGATCTAGTTGAAAAAAAAAATGACCCAATAAAAAAGTATTTTCAACAGAAACAAGTTAAAACCTCAACGACCAATGAAATGTACAATGACACAAAAGATATAATGAATCTATATCTTGTTTTTGGAACTTCAAGTTCTTTTAATAAAAAGTTTAATTTAAAAATAGCTAATATAAAACCATTTTCTGGATGTTGTTCTGAAGAAGAAAAAAAGAAGTGGCTTCTTGAAAGTTGGAATAGAGTAGTAAATTTCTACAATGAATTAAACGATAAAGTAAATGATTTACAAAAAATTAAAGATACAAACCAAC